CAAAGCTATTTTCAGCAAGCAAAAAAGAACTGAACGCTCATGGTTAAACTTCAGTACGCCCTAAAAATTAAAAAAATTGCGGCCGCGCGGGAGGACTTTCAGGATTTTAGTAAATCTCATCAAGTGCTTGGATTTGTTAAAGATTCCCTTGGCCACACTTCAGTTTTAGATGAACTTGTTGTCTGAGGATCGGCGTATTACTTACTTTTCGAGAACCCACTTTCCTTCGGGACGTCTTGCGAAGACCACTGCATACACGAATTTTTGTGTGAACATAACTGGAGCTATTTTGGAGAGTTTTACACTATGCCGGTCCCCGTATCTGTCATTTGGCCACCAGAGGTTCGCCACGGCTTCTCGGCTGCTGCGTAGTACTCTAACTGGAACCCTGGTGATACGTCAAAGCTTGTAGCCTTAACCTTTGCGTTTTCATGAGACAATCCTACGGGGCTAAGTGTGCAACTTGTCTACATTTGAATCTGAAGTCTGGCACTAGATTAGGCTCGGAAACGCCAATAATCTTTATCCTTGGGCCCTTCATCTAATGCAAGCAACGCAGCTAACACTCATCTTCCACTTGGCTGAATTTCCTCGAGAAGCCAACCTCTCCGTGCATTATAATATGATTCTTTATTTTCAGGCGTGAATCCTATCTTAGTCTCAGATCTCAGGTCAGTGAGGGTTATGTGGCTTCCCTTGTGTTGCCCTGGTCCGTAGTTTCTTTGAGTTGCCGGCTTTATCAGGATTCTCCAAGCCGGATGTTTTGATGCCTCGGGTCTGTAGGGGTGTTGAAACGAGAGACGCCCAAATTCTTTTGAGGGCCCTCTCCGATGACTTCTTCGAAAGTAAAATGGCTTCCAAAAGGCGGTAGGCCAAGGGCTAGATATTAAAATAAACTACTGATTGAAGCATTCAAATGACAGAAGATAGATGTCAAAAGGCGATTGTGCGGGTCACACACGGCAAGTACACTACTTTTTCAGGAGGCCAGTGTCTTTTTTCCACGCCACACCCTGGCCTCGAGGTGAACCTAACGACGTCAATGGGAACAGAAGTGAAGATTATTATGGTAAATCGAGTAAAAAATCACGGGCTGTACTGGCCCATGATGAGTCATCCATCCGCTGGGTCACCCCGAATACCACAACTCCGTCCGAAAACATTCTTCCTTCGTTTTAATGTAAAGCTACAAATTCATCGCGAGGGGTACGCGTTGCAGGTTGATTTCGTGATATATTTTCTGTCCACATTCGTTCTATCATGAGCTTTCTGGACGCTGTTATGGATGGAGCATGTCTACAGTAGTTTTGAGCTTGGTTGCTTGTCCATGGGCAATCAGAACTTGGTTATTAATTCGAGCATTTTTATTCCGGAGAACCGGTTTATTTTGAGAATGCTCGTATCTGGTGAAATAGCCGCATCCTTTCAAGCGTTTGTGGATTTTTCTTTCAGTAGTGTGTTGCCTGACTGTCCAAAGAAGAACTCCTAATCTTGCTTTAGTTCAGTTTCTTCCGTAGTCATGTGGTGGAGCAAATATATCTGTAACTGACATAATGTTACCAAAAAGCCTCCAATAACACAATCACGATCGTCTTCTAATGAGTAATTGCGGCAGTGGAAACTGGGGCCTCCTTGGTGCAGACGGGCTTTGATATTTCTAACCCCACGCTCCATTGCTATGGAGGGGCTGAGAATGGAAGCGCATCGCCGTATGGCCATTGTTACCTGAAGGTAGCCGACAACCAGTGCAGAGCAAACTAGTTAGTGCCCCCTCAAATAGTTTCATGATGGGTAATGTTGGACAAAACCACATCTGAATACCGCTGATTGTTTGAGCAATGAGCTTTTAATTGGCAATAACACTTGTAGGCCAGCCCTGGTGATCCGGAACTATTCCATTAGCTGCAATTTTTAGCTACAATTGTTAGATTACAGCGAGCCCCTTCCTGGCTCAGGTCACAAGGCCATAATAACTTCGCTCATTATTAATATCATCGCACGTGAATTAAGGAATTTTGTTCGTTAACTTTTCTTCGGTTGATATATGCGCCAGTTCTCGGAAGGAACGGACAGATCTGCATCGGAACCACAACGTACAGCTCATCTAACCTGTTTAGAAGACTGCTAAAAGCACCACTGTTTTTGAATTTAAAATCTTGCCATGATTTAAAGCGGCAATCTTCACGCGTAAAAGTGATTGAGTGATTGGGTTTTATACATGCACGGAGCCCCCGATCTATCTCTGCCCACAAGCTTATTCTTTGTCCTTAGACGAGTGAGGTTCGCGCACACAGTCATTGGTATAGGAACAACTGTTATAAGAGGTGGAGAGCATGTACCCCTTCCAAGCTTGCAGCCAGGTTTGGTGAAAAGCTGTAGACTTTTCCTAGGGGGCTTTGAAAATATGCTTTGGTATCATTTTAGATCGGGTGAGATTTTTGGAGCGCCCAATGACCTCGGTTGTGCACTTTCCTTCTCCCCACCATCTAAGTCAAAGCCTAATGATGCCTGGTGTTCACATTTATTGCACACCTCTCAGGCATGTGTAGGCACTGATTTTCAAATGCTTCAAAGAGTTGATGCTATCATTTTCTAATGTATTTCGATAATATAATTTCCTCGGTTGAGCTACCCAAATTTAAAATGTAATCCCACCGATTTGTGTTTCAGCAGACCCGATGCAGGCTCGCTTCTATTGTTCTCGCACACCGCATTCGGCACGATCGGTTGGACTTCAGTTAACTGCTCCTCATTGACTCACCTTGGGCTTTTCTTGATCATTTGTTTTTTGAGAGACCTAAACTGCACTGACTGAGTGTTACAGTACAGCCCTCTTCCAGAGGAGCAACTCAATAACTCTCTGTTGACTCTTTTTACCAGTACTCATTGTATGCAACACGCTTCCTCATATTTGTTTCATTTTTGCGCGTATACAACCTTTTTCTAATCTAAACGTAAGAAGCTCTCTGGCTTTGTCAGCGCACATGTTTAAATTAGTACATGGGTTTCACTATCCTGTAGCCATCTTGCCTCAAATCGTTGTGGACTTTGGGATACGGTTGAGAACCAGCGGTTCCTAGGCTGGTTAAGTCCCACGGTAATATTTAACTTTATTATCCTATTATTGCATTCATAGTACTGAGTTTGCCTATAAATATCCACTTGAATAACTTAACCTTTTAGGTTTTGCGCGTGACTCAATGGCGCAGCCGACTATTGGAAACAATCAGTAGTAACAAAGCCCCAAAGTTTCCTGTGAATACCGGAAGATTATTCGAATCGGAATTTTGGAACCTTTGGAGCCACTATGACCCGAAGAGGAAATAGCGAGTTACTTCTTAGTTCACCGGACCATGAACTGGCCAATTTAATTTAGTAAACTTAGGGAAACAATGTATGGTCTTGGCCCAAATCAGTTTGCGCAAAACCGACCACATGCATCACAAGCCATCACCTTGATGACATGCGGGTCGCACGTCCTGTAGTCATTTTGGACACCTCTGGATATTTGCTGCAGATGAAGAATTTAACAATCTCATGTGTAAACTTTTGTGCAAGAAGCGGGCTAGCACTATTTCGTCCGCAATAACTGTGGATGGCAAGTGAATTGGGTTGGCAAATTATCTCCCGGGTACTTCGGATGATAATGGAACCCCCACAAAAATCCGTCGCTCACCTTTCTAACTGGATCTTCTTCCTCCACATGAACAAAAATTTGTTCATATCCGCCGGCCTCCAGATGTCCCAATGCGCTCTAAAATGCGGTAAATGCAAATTAACCACAGCTTGTAAACGGATTTCCGCCATTGACCCTACTGAGTCGACGCCAAGAATTTCATAGAAAGTTTTCTAGTAATAAAGCGCACTCTCGTTAGACAACTTTTTTCATTGCGAGTAGTTTGGGCTCGGAAGAACCGCCCGTTGCCAACTATTCACGCTGTGTCTATAACGTGTTTCACACCGGGTTCACGTGAGTCCTAGCCGCTGCAAGCATACTATCAAATCCAGAGAATGCGAATAGCTTTGTTAGAGCCTTTCAAGGCTTGTGACTTTTAAATGAAAATAAGCACCTGAATGACAATAGGAAAATCGGACTGAGAAGCATCGCCAAATGCCTCCGACCTTCATATCCATGTGTGAATTGGAGTGAGTATCCCGATCAACCGCGTGATCGCACTTGTTCACTGGCACCTAACAGATGATACTCAGCCTCATATGAACAAGCATGTAACACTCAAAGTTCACACTGATTGATGTACTGATGCGGCAGGCAAGGATCCACTGGATCCATGAGAACAAACTTGGATGTGAAGTGAAGTCCTGGTATCCTACCTGTAGCGGATGATCCGACGCACCTTCTCCCGTATTACACGCATGGAATTCCAAATATTCTATGAGGCCTACGTCAGAACGCTTCTGGAATACGCCAACCAAGTTGTCCACCCAGGACGCATGAAAGACGTCACCCTCATTGAGCGTGTCCAGCGAGCCGCTATGAGAATGGTTGTCGGCCTCAAATCCGTGGACTACGAAACGCGCCTCGGGATGCTTGATCTCTTCCCCTGGAGTACCGTCGTCTCTGAGGGGACCTAATTCTCACTTATGTCCTGTTTGAACAAAGCTTGGCAAACAGGTTTTTACCCTTGACCCAGCAAACGCATGGCGGGGACGTAGTAAGAAAATTTTCAAGCTCAGGGCACGCACATTCATGGGACAAATTTTTTTCTCATTTCGGGTACTAGCTGCGTGGAATTACCTTCCTCCGACGGTTGTTCACGCCCCTAGAACCCAGTTCAAAGCACTTTTAGACATTTATTTATGCGGATCCTCGCGCTTGCAAGCATACTGCCCCGCACTGAGAGCATAAAGAGCAGTGCTACACCCTTTTTCACTTGTGTCTTTCAGGTGAACGACAGCCACTGACCGACAAGAGCAAAACCGACCCGGGAAACTTAGGCTCGATCCTGCTTGTCAATCCGTGCGTCCGTGAAACCGTGTAGGTCAGCTCAAGGTCGCCCCAAGGTTCTTTCTGCCTCGAGCTCAGATACGTCCGCGGGATGGTCCGCGCGCTTCTGGAGCTGGTGGTTTCCCTGGGCTGTTTGAAATGAATTCTTCAGGGAAAGAGGAGCAGGAATTATTGGCCAAGCTTGAAGAGCAAAACAGGTATTGTCTATCCCATCTTACATTGGCTCCAAGAACTTTTCTATCGGACGCGAAAGCTGTGACGGCTCTACCAAATCGGCGACGGGAGGGCAGTTTATCAAGCTCTATTTCGACAGAGTCCTCCAGTGACGGTTTAAAAGGTATTTTAAGCAGTGCCAATGCGTTCAGCGAACCGTTAAAATTAACTACGTTGTGTGATTACAGTACGAGTGGTTTGTGGTTGCCAATTACTAGGTTTGCCACGCTCCGCCTGGAACATGGAAACAGAGATTTGAGTGTGACTCTACCTCTAAATAGTTTGCAATTGGAGAACGAGTTGGAAAATAGGAGAGTGGAGGATATGGATCTAAAAGGGTTAGTCTGCAGCTTAGCGCTAACTGGAGCAAACTCTTTCATGGGGTTACAAATTGTTACGTGAGAAGCGCTGTCACATGGAGGTGTACGTCCTTACCTTTAGCCCTCCGTGATTCGTAGTCGGAAGACCAACAATCCAGGCAATAACTTCCACCAAAGCTGCCACATTTGCGTGGTGGCTTTGTGTACAATGATGCCGCGGGCTACGCTTACTGACGCTTAGAGTCCCTAGGCGCAACCGCTACAGAAAGACCAAAATCGGACAGGCAGACTGACAGAAACTAAACCATGTAACACGAGCATGTAATCGTATTACGGGTCGATAAGAGGGTAAAGTAGCAGTGCCTTTGCGATAAAAGTGCGAAGATAGTAAGGTGTTTCCCTTAAGCGAGTAGTACATACGTTACTGTTTTCTCCTGAGAAAAAAACGTCTCTTAAAACCGCGCACTCCGGTTGCCAAACGGCTGAGTGTAACCGCCGGTGAACTATCCAATATAGCCAAAGAGCAGAACTTGCTATGAAACCAATGCTGCCGCAAACGCATCTGCGCTGCGTACCCGCATCCGGAGTGTGGCATTTTTGCCCTATTCGCATCCTTGCGTTAGGCCAGTCTCCTGAAACCCAGAAGATAAGACTTTAAAGTCTTCTGCTCTGGAATGGATCAATCGAGAACCCCCTACTGCTCGTTGATTTGCAAGTCAGTTTAGGCAGGCCACGGCCCTCGAACAAAACCCCTCTTCCTCCTGGTGCCTTGTAGATCACGCTCCTTGGCGAAAGGCTCAGGATAAGCTAATTCAACTGGAACCTCTTCGTCGACCCGGGCAACGAGGAACTATCGTCATCTGGCAGAGCCATTTGTCTACTGATATCTCTTCCCACCCAGCAACCATTACTGGATCATTTGATTGTCACTTATCTGACAAATTTACCCCACACACCTACCGCTCAGTAGCATTGACAGAATAACTGTCATCATCATCATCATCATCATCATCAACGACAGCAACATCAGTGTTGGCACTGATGCTTCACTGCCGTACAACCATAAGGTTCGTCTAGTTATATATATATATATATAATTGTATTAAAAGCCCTA